CTTCAAATTGATTTTCACATTAATCCAACTACCATTGGTGAATCATATGCAATGTGATTCCACAGCTGCTATTCCAGCAAGCCCAAAATCACCCACTTTTCTTTTTCTCATTATGACGTCGTCAGTCGGAGAAAGAGGGGTGGTGAGCAATCTGGCACGTGCCGCTGGTGCCACTTAAGTGGCGAGCATCCCCAGGAGGCGTGGAATGTGATGGAGGATGCTCTGTTTTGGTTCGCTCGCCCATGCATGATGTATGAAGGGAAATTCAGGAAGAGATGCTCTGTTGCATTCCGCCTATGTAAACGGATAATTGATGCATTTTTACTTTATCAGGAGGTCACAACATTTGATTTTTCCTACAAAAGATCTTATTCACTGTTTAGTAGACTCGAAGAAAAAGTCTTTTGTTAGAACACTGATTTTCAAATTGTTGATTTAAGAATATGGAGACAATCGAATTTTTTCTACTCAGTTAGTTAAAAAATATGTATGATTGTTTATCAGCCTCGTTGCTTCAGTTAAGAAAAAAAAGGCTTTTATTATTAAGATTTCTTTTGTTTTACCTTAAACCTTATGGCATCTTTATTTTTTTATTTCCTTTAAGGACAGTTTATTTTTAAATTTGAATTTAATTAAAAATGAAACGAAATTAACTTGAAATATCTCATGAGAAAATTTTTTTTCATTTCTACTTTACTATTTTTAGCTTTGTTTTGGTTAAGAAACCAACACGAATTATGTTTTACCAGAAACAAAGGAATTATAATTTGGATTGAAAATGCCTAATTTATCTTTTTTTTAAATTACTAAAACAACAAAAAATCTGTCATTATACAAAAAAGGAAACAAATCAAAAGGCATGAACTTTAACCAAACCAAAGTGAAATTTTATAAAAAATATATTAGTTTTTGTAGTTTTGCGTGTTTTTACAAAATTTTCTGTGCTTTTTTTTTAATTCTCAGTTTTCTGTTTAGCGTAAATTTTACTTTAATTCTAAGCCGATCTCAAGGAATTTCTGGTAAATTTCATTTGCTCTAACCTTCTAACTGACGTTTTGATTATGATGCCGTGATTGCAAAAGCAGGAGAGGTGTGTAAGGAAATTGGTTATTAAATAATCCACTATTCAGTGAAGGTATTATTAAATTCCTCTACATTGATAAAACTCTATGATTTCCTTCATTAATACAGTTGATATCCAATTTTTCTTCATAGTTTATTAAATAATGGAGTTGTTTGAGAAAAAAAAATTCAAATGCCCTGCAGTATTACTTTTTTTTAGAATTCTATGATTAATATTATTTATAATAGTACTATTATTAACATTCTTCTAATGTTTTTTCTTTTAAATTCTCTGTTTTAAATGTTAATATCCCCTTACTAGTTTGGTGGTAAAAAAGGATGCCTCAATGCATTTTAATCTGATTTTCTCGAATTAAACGTTTAATATATTTTTCAATTAATTTTTCTTCATACATGGCATATTTCAAGACTGATAAATTATGTGTGATTACTGCTGTTTTGGTGAATTCATTAATCTGTTGAAGTGGCTAATTTATAAATAATATACACGTAGCGTAAATAAGAGAGCAAGCATTTTTATTTTTATAATTAATTTTTACTTACTAATTTCAGTTTTAGTATTTTAATTATTACTTTTATTATTTATATTATTTCTCTAACTTTTTTTCCATTTAATTATCCGGTTGCATTTCTCTTCATAATGTTATCACTGTTTAAAACAAATTATTCTTTGGACAAGCTAATATCTTTGTTGGCAATGAAAAATAATATCCGCATCTTTGTTCAATAAACACAAATTTCCTGTAAAACACTTTTGTGTATCTTACACACAAAAAATGGTGGCAACTACTTTAAACCAAAGTAGAGTTCCACTAAGTGTAAAGTGACTTCCACCATTTTTTTTTTTGTATTCAGTAACACTAAAATGAGTTAATTTATAACTTTCCTTGGAGTAAACTATGTTAACGAACACTGCCGTTTTTGATGTCGTTGTTGATGTTTTTGGTGTCGTGTGGGGTTAAGCCCTGCAACCCCTTTCTCCGGGCTATTTTCTAAATTTATTATTTCTAAGACTACTTCTAAAATTTCTACTTCTCTTTACTTTGAAGTTCCATAAATTTTTTAAATAAAACATTTATTTAGTATTCATGAAATTCAATCCTTCACTATATTTTTCTTTCCCTGTCTGGACAATAGAATAATTAGACGAATGGATAGTAATAATAATTTCCTAAAATGCTTCATCAACATATTACAAGCACTCTTTTCCCCGAGCAACTATGATTCTTCAACTGGTATGAATCATCCAACTTCTTCAGTCGAAATATCCATCACCATCAATCACTAATAATTTTCTTGACAGTACTTCATCTTTTAGTAAAGTTAAGTCAATAAAGTTATTTTTACGATGCAATATAAAATCAGGATCATCAAATTAGAATGCATATACATACTATTTTTTAAAGTAAAATTAATCTGTAAATCGAACAATGAAACATACGTGTAGCATGGAGATAATACAAAGAAATAGGCTTAACAGAACAATTGTGGATCGAAATTAGAAATGACAAAATCACGTAATACAATTAGCAGAGATTTAAAAATTAAAATATAATTGTCCTTATTACACAACTAAAAACATACATAAATATTTTAACGGGGCACTTTTTGTTTGGTTGATGCCCAGCAGTGTCGAAGACTTCCATTAACTCATACCAAGTTATTTTCGATTGTAAACAATATCCTGACGAAATCCAAAGTTCTCTAATTTCAGTGTTTTTGAAAGTTAAATAATTTTCATCATGTGTAATTATGCGATAGATTGGTGTAAGCTTATTCTATTGTAAGTAAGATAAAAATTGTATTTTTTAAATTGTATCGCATCAATTGTTGAAACCAAATTGTTGAAAACACAATTTGGTGTTAACCTAAAATGAAGTGCTTCTTCATACAAGTTATTGGTTGATCAATAGCATATATGAAAAAATATCGCAACACAATTTTTACAGTTTTGTAGCAAATTTTCAATTGATGGCGTTCAGCAATTCCTTTGTAGATCATCATGAATTGGTGAGCAGAGAACAGAAATACTTTTTTACGATATTTTTACAATTACAATAGCTTGGTTAAAGTTATTGAATTTAAATAAAATAACTTTTGTTATTTTTTGAAAATTAATTGAATTCCATAATTTCTCCAATTAAATCTTACATTATCTGAAGACAAACAATGAAAATTTTACCTCAAATTAAAATTTGCCGTTTTATTTGCTATTCTTCACTTTTTAGCAAATTTTAAAAAAAAAATGCATTAAATTGTGACGCATATTTAAATGTAGAAATAATAAAATATTTGATATAAGAAAACATTAAAATTAGCTATATTCAAAATGTTTCTTAACAATTATATTAAGTAATATATTAAATTAATAATATATTTGTATAATTTTAAAAAAAATGTAAATTGATGTGTTCCTTAAGAGACAGAAACAAGTAAAAATTACAATTTCAGGAAAAACATTTAAAACACAATTCATAAGTTGAACATTTTGATAGGTACAGTACTTTTGTTTACGTAGCACTAGAGCTGCACAATGGGCTATTGGCGATGGTCTAGGAAACATCCCCGAGGATGACCCGGAAACAACATACATACGTCACATCCTGTTTTACTGGAGGACACATTAACACACCATCCATCTATTCGCGGATCGTAATTTTGACCTGAATGAGCATGATCAACCTCCGATCCAGTACCCCCAGAGGTATTGATTGATCACGAAATTTAGACGCGTGCAGTTATTTACAGAAGAAGTCCGATTGAAAAAAAAGATCCCCTTATTATAGCTCATCGAGAATCAAATTCAAATAGGCTTTATTTATCTGCATAACTTTTTTCGATTTTTCCTAGCATGACATTTGTATTAAATATAATCGCTTGTATAAATTAATATTTAGTTTTAAAATTAAAATGGGTTTGCCATCGAAAATATTTCTTTTTCGAAAAAAAATGAATTTAATACTGGATTGACGGCAAATATTAAATATTTTTATTAAATAAGGATGACATAATATTGATGGCATTGCCTTAGAAATTTATCATCACTATACCATTGTACAAATGTAACCGCAGCATTTTCCCCATTGCCTTTAAATGGGATAACTAATGCAAAGATTATTTTAGATTTTTACATTCAGACTAACACCCACAATTTTAAAATCGATACTCGACCTTTTCAATGCAAAGACGATAATGAATCCCATTTATCAGGGATGCAGACAAAGGGACAATAAATTGAGTTATCTTTTCATTGGGGGATGCAAACAGAGGGAAGAGCGACATGAAAAGATCAGTAATTTCAAAAAATCAAGCAAAGATTTCATTTCAGCTTTAATCCTCTGGCAAGTTTTTTGAGTGAAGAAAAAAAATTCAGAGTTTTTAGAATAATGAGCAAGATAAACACAACTTGGCTTACTCGAAGTTTTTTGTTTTATTTTCAGTGAATTTTTTCGACACTTGGAAATTTTAAAGCTTTAATGATTTATTTAAATAAAAGCTTAAAGAAAAAAGATTAAGGGAAAAAATATTGATTTTTTCGTTGCATTCTTCAGGCATGTATAAAAAGTTGAGAAATGAGCTGGTGTACTTTGCACTTGAAAAATATATTACTTTTTACTTAATCGATTATGATATTTTATAAAGATAATGCAATAAAAGTAAATAAAAAGTTAATTTCTTAAAACGTAATTAATGCTATATATGAAAAATTCCATGTATATATATANACTGTAGGGACCTAAATAAAATATTGTTATAGGCAGGTTATCGTTATAGACAGGTTTGAAATTTAAAAGTATACGTTTAAAACTAATGATAAATTAAACTTCTTTTATAGACTCCAAATGAAAATTTTACTTAGAATTATGAAACAGCACACTAGAAAAATTTACTTACAATTTTATGAATCAAAATAGAAATTATTTAGAAAAATAATCGGTTAGTCTTGTTTGCTTATTTTTGGAAGCAATTGCCATTTCCATGCACATAGATTTCAGTCCATCTAATGAATTCAAATGAACATCAGTTACATTTGGTAATGTTGCAACAAAATCTTGCAAAGTGCTAATTAGCAATATGGCATTTTCGGGTGAATTTTGAGTCCTGTTTTGAGAACAGTCAGCTGCTTCTTCCTCGTCACTTTGATCACCCGGGATAACTTCTGCTAAAATCTCTTCATCACTTGCACCACTGAAAACCAACACATCATTATCTAAATTTAAAAATTCATCTGCGTGAAATAGAAATGATGTATTACATGATCTTTGGAAATCACTGACAATCAAATTTAAGCCTGCCACACATTTTTCTTCTTCATCAGTGATTTCAGTAAGCTCAGTTTCTGCGTTTCCGTTGCTTTTATCCTCAAAGAAAGAAGCTTTCTTCTAACAATTTTGGATGGTGGATTGTGTCAATGAATTCCACCCGCCGGAAATCCAATCACATGCATTTTTTACATCAACTGCATAAGGATTTGAGAGTTTATTATCCAGATTATAAACAACGTTCTGAACTAATCTTTTTCGATAGTATCCTTTGAAACATTTTATTATTCCCAAATCTAATAGCTGTAGAATCGACGTGCAATTAAAATTTTTAAAAAATATAAAATTAAAACAATTTTATATTTTTCAAACTTGGAGGATTGTTGTGAGGAGTGCAGTTGTCAACTAAGAGAGCTATTTTTTTCTTCTTTCTTTTCATCTCCTTATCCACATCAAGCAGCCACTTGTTAAATATTTCTTCTGTCATCCAGGCTCTTTTGTTTGCCTTGTAGTCAACTGGTAAACTTTTCACATTCTTAAAACATCTAGGTTTAGCGTATTTGCCTATAACGAACGGCTTCAGTTTATCGGTTCCAGTACTGTTTGCACAAAGTAGAACAGTTAACCTCTGTTTTGATTTTTTACCGCCTTTACAATTTTCTCCCTTAAATGCCATTGTTTTATCTGGCATGAGCTGATAAATAAGCCAGTTTCATCACCATTGTACACGTTTTCTGGAGAATAAGTTTTTTTAGTAGTCTCTTTTTCTCGTTGCTTCCAGGATGCAACATCATTGACTGGAGCTGACTTTTCTTCACCTGAGATGGTTTTAAAAACAATACCATGACTTTCTCGAAATGATGTAATCCACCCATTGCTGGCTTTAAACTCGTTGTTGCCTAGCAAAGACGCAAATGTTCTGCTTTTTCTGCAATCATTGGACCACTAATTGGCACATTTTGTTGTCTCATTTCGTGGAACCATCTTAGGGTAGCTTTGTCTACATCCTCATTAACTGCACCTTTAAATCTTTTCCTTTTACCATCAATTTTTCTTCCTTCCACAGCATCTTCGATATCTTTTCTTTTCTTCAAAAAAGTAGCTATTGTTGATTGTGAAATCCCATATTTCTTAGCAGCGTCAACTTGCTTCTATCCTTGATCAATTTCCGATATGATATTTAATTTTTCTTCAAAAGATAATGCTTTACGCCGAGCCATCACTTCAAAATTAAAATTAACTTTATTGCAAGGAAAACATGCCAGTCTGTAGTGAGTAACAATAAGGACTTACGTATGAATGAGACCCTTCACCCATTTCTACTGCTCTAATTTCCCCTAAAAGTGGCTTTTTTTCTCAGAAACAACGAAAGAATATTACATACAAAAGAGATGAAAAAAAAAAAACATTTTATCTCACATTTAGGCTCGATGGGGAGTCGTTTTCCAACGGTAGAAAAATCGGAATAGAACTATCAACTATCAAAAGAGGAAAAATTATCGTTGTAGACATGTTTAACTGAAAAGTGGTTATCGCTATAAACAGGTTAAAAATACATTGAGTAAATAGGAATTTCACCGGGACCTCAAGGAAATATCGCTATAGACAGGTTTATCGTTATAGACAGTATCGTTATACACAGGTTTCACTGTATATATATATATATATATATGAAACTTATTGTTTTTCTTAATTTTCTATTGTTTTTTTTTGTATTTATTTATTTTCTTGGATATATTCTAAAACATTTTGCATTTGAATTAAAAAAGAAATACGTATGATATGTCACACTGAGGAATTGTTTTTTCCTGTGTGAGATTTTTTAACTGATAATGTATATTTTCACGTTGCCAATTTTTAATCAATTGGTTCTGCAATTGGTTTCTGTATTTAAGCTACGGCTTTTTTAAACGTCATTTTCAGTCTATTTTTTTTGCCGAAATGTACAAGTTGAAAAACGTCATATGTAACAGGGTCACATATATCTTACGACAAAGTTCCAGAAGAGTGAGGACACTTCTCTAGAATTATAATTGCGTAGGGTCTCATGCTTAGAAATCTCGTCATACGCCACTATGACCACTTCTCTATAAAGAACTGTTTCTTCGTGTGCATCTGTATTGGTGATAAAAGAGAAGCTCACCTTCAATTTCCAGAAATGGGATCCTGATCAATTTTAATCCGGGAGATGTTTATTGTCCGTAATATCTATATTATAGTAAAATCCATTTTTACCGTAATTTTTACTCTACTAAAGTGATTCAGTGACTTTACGGCAATTATTAGATACTGTAAAAATCATGGTGTTTCAGATTTTTGTTCCGTCACCCGTTCCGGTAAAACTTGATTCTGCGCTACAAATTACCAGCATCCTGAGTAATACCAGTACTTTTTACCGTAATTGCAACTGAAATATTTTTTAATGTAGTGATTTTACTTTGAAAACGTTACATAACATCTGTATTAGCCTAACGCAATTATTGAGTGTAGTGAAATTAGTCCCATACGCAACACACTCATTAAATTACTGCCTCATAGATGAGAAGTTAAAGTTTAGATTTATCTGGTCGTCTACTCTGTTTGATAAACATTTTGTCCAAAACATTCAAAATAGACATGACAGAGTGCTAAATTTATTGTTCCTTGCTAGAAATTACCGATAGTATACCGTTTATAACTAAATAGGTAATGTTAGGCTTTTAAACTGTCTATTCCTTTTTGCATTATAATGCATTTTTTTTGCTTTTTTTAAGTACCAAGAAACTTTTATTATCATTAATGAAGTGAACGTTATGTATCAAATACAATATAATTATAACCATGAATTTCAGCAAATGAAGGCCGCGACATTCAAGTAATGAAAAAAAAATAGTAAATGCCAGTTTTGCCAGCTTTTTTGTAATAACACTTTATCTAAAAGCTATTTATTTCAAGCTTCTGTCTTTTTCATAAAGTGAGTTATTTTTCTTACATAGGGATGTTAAAGTATTCAAAATAAAATTAAGCTTTTCTTGGAAAAAAAAAACTCTTTATCAACTACATTTAACTATTCAGCTTATAAAATTTCCATACATAAAATATCGCAAAAGACTCAGTCATCTTATTGACTATTGCGTCAAAAACATTTTTGTATCCAACATCCATTGTGCTATATTTAGGCTATGTATTAGAAAAGAGAAAAAATATGTAGAGATATATGGACTACAGAAAAAGAAAAACGGAATTTTTTCATTACATTCTCGCCATCTTTTTTCGTTACGGCGCCGATCTGTCATTAGTTGTCAAAGGTTGTTGAGTATTTTATTTTATTTTTTCTCTCCACTTTTTGCATTTTTGCTTTAATATTTTTCCTAACATTATTTCAAACTGTTCAGTTTTGGCATGTTGGCGGATTTTTATGTCCGAAAGGTTTCGAAGGTGTCAATTTTCGAATACATTAATCTCTTTTGTTAACTTTTAGGAGTATATTTTTTGAAAGCTTATAAAATGCTTCATCACAAGTAAAGAAATAATATATACATGATACCATAATCGTTTTTACTTCTTTTTAAAAGAATATCAATTGAAATTATTTGGATTAGACGAGACAATCAAAATAAACTTTGATTACTGTCATTTTTAATCTTATGCTAGTCTTTCAAATTTACACGGAGAAATAAAATTCTGGTGAATTCTGGTACCGTACTGCATGGTAATAGCATTTTAAGTAAAAAAAAAACGTAATTCTAGTATTAATGACCAGAATATACGATATTTAAACCATTTTTTTTGGTAATGCTTCTTATCTTGGGTAGTAGTTTACTAGAAGTTTAGATTTTTAAGACTACAGTTCTTATTAACACACACTTAGTAAAAATATACAGAATTAAAAAATAAATTTTGCCAATTGCCATGCTCTAAAGTATCGTGGTATTTTTATACCATGCTCTAAAGTATCATGATAAAATTGACAAATTTTACCACATTTACCAAATTTTATTGCATATTATAACAGCATACTTTATTTTTAATTTTACCAAATTCATTAACAAAGAGCTTCGATAAAAATTACGGAGTCTTTTGGCACTCTCATAAAGCCAGAAGCACTGTAAATTTTACCTTATTCTAGTTGTTTTAATCATACTTTTTTCTCATATTTTAAAAAAATAAATACTGTTATTTTGTTTCTTATATTTTATTTTAAAATCAAAGCTAAAACACAAAATTTTGTTTTAAGTTTTACATAAAATGCTTTCCGAGTTTTCATCTTACTGTATGTATCTCCTGCCTTGCATTCTCGCCCCCGTCTTGCACGCTACTTAATATTATTATCGGTTAAGTGATCTATTAGTTAAATCATTATTATTTGAATTTTATTAATTAAATTTATTTTTATTGCTGTACTATGTACTATAATTTAAATATGAGATAACAGACATTGAATCACTACTATTTGTTCTAATGATTATTTTAAATATCTTAAAAACACTTATTTCAAAATAAAACAATTGAAAACGACTTCCTTATTTGTTAAGATATGTATTAGCGTACACAAGGAAGTATTTAATATCATTATCATTCTTAGGATACAAAGAATAGGCTCTTGACTTAAGAATGAAGGCACATTTACTTGTGAAAATGAAATGTTTATTGCAATAAGCAATAAGTAATTTATTTTTACTCTATATATAGAGCCACCTAGCAAAAAAAGTATATATAGCTATTTTCGTAAAGTTCAAATACATATCTTTTACAGTTCCTTAATTAAAATCAATTAACTTAATACACGTGTTTTATCAGTACTATTATATGTTTACATTTTATTTATAGTGTTTTTAAAAATGTGACATCACTAAAAAAATAGAAACACATAACCTAAAACTGCAGTAAAAATTGTAACGGAAGTTAAACATTGTATGGAAACAATAGAAATTTGGATTTAAATTATCCAAACTCTTTTTTTATATATTTCGTCAATTTTCTTATGGTTTAACTTTTGGAAATGATGTCAAAATTCATATTTGCCTTTGTTGTTTTATTCACTATGAAAATTAACATACATTTCTTTTCAATAAGATGATTCTCAACAAAGTTCCATTCTTTTCCGGCTAAAAGTATCATTGTAGTTGGTTTCAACAAATTCTTCTTTATCGAGAACAATTAATTATTGAACATCTTTTTATAGAAATTTTTTATTGAACATAATTACTCCCTTGAGATTTGAAATCAGTGTTCGAGTTTAATTCAATATAATTCTTGATAATTACATTTCTTTAATTTTTAAAAGTGTCCTCCGTTTAATTTTTAATGTCTCTAAAAGTTTGATTCTTTCTTGTAATAAAATATTTCAAAGCGAGGTTTTCTCCGATTTTTTTAAAATTCACGCCTTCAGTTCTTATCAAAAAAAAAACTATGCGTATTTTATAAGTAAAATCAGATAATGTAAATGAAAAAGTGCAAAAAAATATTTCAGTTTAAATGAATTAAATTGTGAAGTAAATGCATATGGCGAAAGGTACTGAAAAAAAACATTGTTATTTTAGAAATAACTATGAATAGTGATAATTCAATAAATTAGTAATTTAGAACAAATTTTCATTTTAAATTGTCTGTCGTTGCTTATCCATTTTTTAAAATAATAATAAAGAGATATTAAGCTTTTCAGCTTTGGCTATTTAGATATACATTAAGATCTGT